TTGTATATTGGGAAAAAAAACTTGCGGTAAGTCATTTATTTAATTTTGTGTCAACATTGTACACACACAGCAGACCGCCGGTCTTATGCATATTCACCACAGGAAAGAAACATAGATAGAGCTCCTATATTCCAGGCAGCACAGAATCTAACAACAGCCTCAGTTACGACGTATGTCCAATAGCCACAGTATATCGCACGATTTCCAAAATTTCGAATAGCAGTTATGCAAATCTGACAAAGTATTATTTGCATATAGTCCTTTTAAAATATATCTATGATTTTATTATATTTGACCATTGACTGTGGTGTCACGTGATACTCTACGATTGTCTACTCTGTGAATCATCATCAGTTTCGCGACATCATCGCTTTATATGTAAATATTGTTTGTTTACATTTATCTCTCTGACTGTTTTTTTTTTTTTATATTCTGTAAACGTTTGTAAATATTATAGTAAAGTATTTATTATTTTATTAACAGAGTATAAATTTTGATGTTTATATTTTGCTACTCTGTAAACTTCCTTCATTGATTCTCATATATTTTATCAATTATAGTTTGTGCTTGTCTTAAATAAATTGCTGTGTTATCCTCTAGGAATCCGGGTTACCCTCATGAGAGAGAGAAAAAAACTGTGTCATCCTGAAGTTTGTTGTTGTTGTTGTGTTCAATGAAGAGCCTCAGATGTCTCCATACATCTCTATCATAGCAGTCGTTCTCTATCTTGGGTGTGTAAAGCTCTAAAGTTTCTTGAAGCTTCTTGAAGCCTTGAAGTCTTTCCTAATATTCTACCTGTCAATATCTTCGTGTGTAAATAAATTTGTTTTTTTTTTTTAATATAATGACCCTTTCTGGTTATTTTCTACAAAATAGATTGCCATCAACACAACGCGGTGCAACAATTTAACTGTTTATTTCTCTCTCTCTTTCATAGATCGCGAAATACGTGGTGTCGCTGGGGACCCATTGGCGATCTTCCATCAAACTCTGCAGCGGGGGTAGAGGCGCCATGTACATAGTTGTATTTTTTAATCATTTTTATTATAACCAGCTGGGATATCGCGTCCGATATGTCAAATAAATAAAAATAAAAAAAAAATCCTCATTATAAATTTCTCATTTTCTCATAATTAATACGGACTGTGCACTTTACATGTATTGACAAGATGTCAATAAAAAGATGTCAATTGTCATTGTCTCTCTCTCTCTCTCTCTCTCTGCGTTTCGCTTAAAGTAAGGTAATTTATTGTGTATATAAACCCTTGCCACTCGTGTCATTATATATCCTATGAAAGACATCTTACCTGAAAGCTTGTACAATCATCGTCTTATAAAGAAGCTCTTATCTATGACTCGTGTTTGTTCTTCAATAGTGAATAGATGGATTATGGCTGTCTTAAGGTAATTTAATTTTACAACAACAACAAAAGCCTTTATTGAGGGCCTCTCGTCCTATAAAGGATTCTCCAGTTTACAGAGTAATTGAAGAGAACTAAGAATACAGAGAGAAACCTATATGTATTAGGTATAGTATTTTCTACACTGTGACTATATACAACAGCAGCAACAAGCCTTTTAGTGGAATCAAAGTCCCATACAGGATTCGTCATTCTAATCCTGACAAAGATTAATTACATATAATTATTTACATCAATTAGATTATGTATATAGCTTCCTCTTCTCTTCAGCCATCTTCCATAATTTAATTTTAAAAATAAGTTTTAACTTATATTTTTGGATAATTCGAAATTTTTTGGTCACTTTTGTTTCAAATTACCCATGTTTGATTGTACTATATTTTATTAATCTAAGGTAACAAGACATCTACTGATCGATTGCCCAGCATTTCAAGATTATAGAATGAACTAGTTGTGAACTTAACGATTTGTTTTCCGACCGAAAAATCATATTTAAAGTTTAATTCATTTTGGTAAATACATTCTAAACTTTCTACAAAATCTGGATCTCTAATGTTTTCACGTATTGAATAATGTAAATAACTTATGTAAATAAACGTTTCTCCTTGTTTGGCGTAAGTATCCCTTGCGGGATATAGCACTTTGAAGAAGAAAAAAAAAAGGTAACAAAACCAAAAAATCATCAAATTTGAATGATGTTCAGTAACAGCGTAGTTACCATCTACAGACCAAATATTCCCTCTACAGAATGACGGATATATAAAAACAGAATTGAAACTTTGAACAATTCTTTCATCAATCTCTTTTCTATAATTAGAAGGTGTCAAAAGTAACCATGTCGTTAAGGAAGAAATGATGAAAAATAAAATAAAAAAACATTTCTGTCTGGATTGCTAACTACCCCCGTCTATAATTATAGTTATTCTAATTATGTATGCAACACTTTTTTTTATGCAACACTTTTTTTTTATGCAACAATGTCACAATTACCAGAATTGTTGCAAATTTAAAACTCTCATTATATGATAAATTAAGAAAAAAGGAATCTCCTTATCGTGTAACTGAAAGTTGCTGATGGCTTACGCCATCTATCAGAATAAATATCAACTATTCCATTGATTTTTTAAATATTCCAGAATTGGCCAAATACCCATTCTTGATTCATCATATTGGCTTGTGCCATCAGCAACTTTCAGTTGCAAGATAAGGATATGTCTTTTTTCTTAATTTATGAATCTTATCCCGGTACAATATTACATTTGTACTATTTATTTCACAATCTTATTATATGGTTGTATAATTATTATTAAAAATAAAAATGGCATATCCTGACCAGGAGAACATGTGTTTTACAGAAGGCAGAACGCCATCTGGTGGAACAGAAATCAACTAATAAATGATTTAGCCTGTGTCCCTGATATTTGGTCAACCCAATTTCTTGATAAATCAAGAAAAGCCATCCACGAACGCGTTTCGCGCTTTTTGACGCTCGTTGGTCCAAATTTGGTCGCAGTGATACAGCCTACACCACGCTGACGAGCGCCAAAAAGCGCGAAACGCGTTCGTGGATGGCTTTTCTTGATTTATCAAGAAATTGGGTTGGCCAATTATCAGGGAACAGGTTAAATCAATGTTTAGTTGATTTCTGTTCCACCAGATGGCGTTCTGCCTTCTGTAAAGCACATGTGCTCTTGGTCAGGATATGCCATTTTTAATTTTGATTTCAACACCTGATCTTTTTATCCTTTATTTTTTCTTTCATTTTTTCATAATTGTTATCATAATAGAAACAGATAGAGATTCAAACAACCTAAGTTATCATTTAAATAAATGGTATTTGATCAACGAATATTGTTTCAATAACAAAATGTTAATTCGCAATGTGAAAAAATAATACAAATGTGATCCGTCAAAATAAACGTCAAAACCCGACGCCATATATTGACCGTCGCCGCAAACTAGCGGCCTAGGGTCGGTAACAAAGCCACAACACCAACTTTGGCAAACTGAGAAGCGTCCACCTAGAGACCATGGTTTCGGGCTAATGGCCCTCGTCAGTCTAGGACGGACTTTATTCCATGAGATCCACACGGGATCTAATGGAATCTTCACAATCTACCAAAGAGGTGTTTTGTTGGCAAGGTGGCTTGGCCAAATCTATTGCTAGAATATAGATGGAAAATTTTCCGGGAGGAAATTGGTCCATAGAAGCATAGGGCGCCTCTCCCGTCAAAATAGACGTGAAAACCTGACGCCATCTATGTGATAAATCTAATGTGATATTGTACTGGGATAAGGTGCATAAATTAAGAAAAAAAAAGGCATCTCCTTATCGTGCAACTGAAAGTTGCTGATGGCGTGAGCCATCTATCGGAATAAATACATGGTTAGCTTTTCTTTATTAATCAATAATGGGTATTTGGCCAATTCTGGAATAATTAAAATAATCAACGAGAATAGTTGATATTTATTCCGATAGATGGCGCAAGCCATCAGCAACTTTCAGTTGCATGATAAGGAGATACTATTAGTAAATTGCACTTGAAATCAATTTTACCATTTATCGATAAAATTTGTAATAATTATTTATGGCAATGTGTTTCTTTTTACCTATATCATCAAATATTCTATATACAGTTACGAGCGTCATCCGTTCTTAATTCTTCATCTCCTAATCATTTATCATCTCTGTCACCGTTTGCTTTTTTTTTTTTTTTTTTGGAATGGCGCCCTCCTATTGGTTGGCTACGATCACGCCACCTTTGCCCCCCCCCCCCCCCCCCCCCCCCATCATGCCTCCCCCACTCGCTTTTTCGTTTTTGTAACTATTGTGTTGGAGCGGGTCGCTCCTTAAATAAATGCATATATTAGTTAATAACTAAATGGAATCCTCTCTTTCTTTTTCCCAGTAAGAGACGCCTACGGAGGCCAACAGTACATAGACAGATAAAGCACATAGGCTATAGTTATTAACTAATATATGCATTTATTTAAGGCCCAAATTTATAATTGTAACAAATAGTATTTGAATAAAAACATTCAATCGGGTAAAACACGGGCGTTGCCCGGGTCATTCGGCTAGTTACTTCTATAAAAGAAACACTGGTTCCAAAATCAATTTATTAGGTACCACTCAAAAAGAACAACCTAGTTTATGATATTTACAACAATGAATAATATATGAAGGTTATTCACATATTAAACAAAATGTTAACGTGGAATTCAATCCCGGTTCATGACTGTCGGGAATCGAGGGTGTTACCCACTCGTCCACCGACTTCTTTAAAAAAAGAAACATATTTCAAAAAATATATATTACGAATTTAATTGATAGATTGAAATTGAATTTATAAGTGTAATTTTCTAATAATAGCTTTCAATATACTATTTTTGTGGAAGAGCATTGTTCGATATAATTTCTTGTAATTATATGTATGTAGAACAACATTAGAAAAATATCCCGCATGTGTTTCTTTAGAACGAAAAATCGAAATTTATTTTAAGGAGAAATAACGATTATTTCTAACCTTATGGATAAAGTATGAAAGGATGAATTGTGAAGAGTAATGATAACCGGAAAAATAAAGTGTCCAAGGATGGGAATCGAACCCATAGTGTTCCGTTTACTGGGCAGATGCCATGTCCACTAGGCATACTTCATCCCTAAGGTTAGAAATAATCATTATTTCTCCTTAAAATAAATTTCGATTTTTCGTTCAAAAGAAAAAAACACATGCGGGATAATTTAAAATGTCGTTCTACAATCATAAGCCGCATTATATTGTATTATAAATTATATGTATACACTTTTACAGACCTCTAAGTTAATGACTATAGGTTCCCTAAACAATCCTAAGATGCCTTCCATAGTAAATGAAGGGAATATAAGTAAGGCAATCCAATACATGGCCAGTAATATAAGCCGTCGGTTTCCAACAACCATGAACTGGGATCGATTCCCACATTGTACACTTTGCATTGTATCCCGATTTGAATGCATTGAATGCATTGCATTCCCGCATTGTACAAACTCCGCCTTTGCCGGTCCCAAGCCCGGATGAAAAAGGAGGAAGGGGGAGCAGTAACAAGCTCACTAAAAAACCTGGACTCAGCTGGCCCGGCTGATAGTACCCTGTAAGGGCTCCTAATCCAGGGATACAGGATGAGCAGCGTTTGTACTCCATGTTAGGAGCAGCTGCACATGGTGTCTGTTTCTCATATCAGAGGCAGCCATTTCTTTTGGAGCTAAGTCGGCCTGCCACTGAGTAGTGCTCCCAGTCTTAATGACAAAGGGAGACGCATTCTACTTCACCCAGTCATGATGGTTGTCAAACAAGCTTGATACCGTAATATGATTGAGTGGAGATAAGAAAGAAGACACTTTTTTGTTTTATTTTGTGTGTGTGTGAAGAACCTGTTCATTATAAATAACATAAGCTAGAGGTTGTTCTTTTTGTGCGTTACCTAATAAAGTTATTTTGGAACAAGAACATCCAATACACTAGATCATCAGAAACGATATAAATATCGGAAATATCAAAGAATACATATTTAAACAATCCTTTATAAGTTCTACGAAAAATCTGAAAAATTTGAAAATCCCACTTTCAAAAGGAAGCCATAAATTCGTAACAAGAAAAAAAAAAGAAATTTAAAAAAATCGGAACAAAATTCTTCATTAACTAATTCAAAAGTACAGAGACATATTTACATATTTTATTGACATCTTGTCAATACAGGTAAAGTACACAATCATCACTAATTATGATAAATTAACAATAATGAAAATGATTATAAAAACGAAAAATAGATATAAAAAATATGCTATATACAATGACATTGTATATGCCACCTCAGCCACCGCTGCAGAGTTTGGTGGAAGATTGCCAGTGGGTCTCAAGCGACACCACGTATTTCGCCATCTACGAAGAAAACGTATATCGTATGCTTCACCGCTGAGGAGATGGTGATGGCATACAGCAATAGATTGACATCATACACAAGTCAATGGCATTATATAACAATCATAAAAAGAGGGATAAAATAAAAGTGTAAACTATACACAGTTATGTACAGTCCAGGAGACAAAGAGTCCAGACAGTAAGTCACGTTCTCCTCTCATCTCAAGTCTCAGAAAGAACTTGTGAATTGATGACTTGGCAGACGCGAGGACGGCGTTGTCATCCAGCCCTTGACCGAAGAACCAGTAGCCCTGCAGGTCGGGTGGTTGCTGTATGATGTTAAAGGCCTCCCGTATGAGGTATGATCCCGTATGATAGAGCAAGAGAGAGAGAGAGACAAGGTTGATAATTAACACAATTTTATTTACATCTTATCCATACAAAGTTAAAGTGCATAGTCCGCATTATCTAAATAATTATGATGAGTAATTTACAATAATGATGATTAGATTGCAAAAGAGATTCGGGCGGCCACCGCCGGACCTACAGTCCTGAATCTTCGCAGTGGATCTCAACGACCACGCCATCATCATCTCCTCAGTGGTAAAGCATGCCATCTATGTTTTCCTCGTAGATTGTGAAGTACGTGGTGCGTCGCTGGAGACCCGCTGGCGATCTTCCATCAAACTCTGCAGCGATGGCTGTAGCGGTGGCCATGTAAATATTCATTGTATATATCATATATCAAGCACGAGAGAGTTCACAAAATGTAGCTTGGCACCTGCAGCTCCAGAAAACATGTTGGCTTGCATTAGATGCACTAAACAGGACATTTGGGAGAGGCCGCTGCTCATCATAAAACAGCTCGAGGAGCATGAACTCATGGAATTCGTGTAATCTTTACACAAGGGGATAAGAAACAACAACAACACGAGAGAGTTAAAGAAGTGGTATATGTGGAATTTTTTAGAATAAGCTGAACGTTTCACCAATAGATGGCATTCTACTATTTTGGTCAGAATATACGATTGAAAAGGAAAGAAAGGAAGAACATTTGGTTTCGTAAGGCAGTTTTTTATATCGCCAATTTTTCGTCAAGATGTTTATCGCCTAAAAAAAGGAAAAGAAGGAAGAGCAGTCGGCTTCATAGATGTGTCTCTAAGACAGTTTTTTTATATCGCCGCTAGAGAAGATCTTTCAATCCATGGAAATGAAAGTTTGATGAGTCACAACGGCCATAATGGATGAGGAGAGAACAGAAGGAAATAACCGTTAGAACTTGGGGGCCCTCTACAGAAGCGCCGAATTTCTCCAGAATCTGCAAGGCCTCCCCCTTCCGCCTTACACTTCTAAGAACAGCTGCTGAATTCCAGACATGCCTGCGTTCGAGATTAGTACAACCCACCAACACAATACTCTCGTTCCCGAGGTCTTTCAGCCGGAAGTTAACATCCTATCTGAAGGAAGAAAAATGAATCTCTCTTTAGGAATACTTCAAGTAACGGATTTTTTACGGGTTTCTTGTTTCCTTATTTCTTTTCTTTGATGTATTTGAACACTGGTTTTTTCCAAGTTTTGTTATTTTTCATAATGATAACAATAACAATGGATTTTATTGATGTTTATTTGCCCTATACAGAGGATACTCCTGTGTAAAGAAAACTACTATTCACACTTTTTTTTGGCAATCTGGTAATGTTTTGTATTTCCTTCTTAGCGTTTGTAGGTTTTAAAAAATTATATAAAGATATGGTGAATAGATTCCAATTTTTTCTATTAATTTGTCAATGAGAGTATATAAACAATATTGCCACTTACACTCATGGACAAACCTTAAGGAAGTGGAATGTCTTTTAGTCTGCGTCGGTTTTTTATTTTTATTTTTTTTAAGGAGACAGAGTCAATTTTGTTCACACTTGGTTATCCCGCGTGTCTTCAATAAAGGTCACTGAAATATCTTTCAGAGTTATTGTCTGAATCCCGATATACATGCTAAAAGGTACAACTTCCTTAAGTTTTGTTCCATGAGTGTATCTTTCAGAGTTATTGTCTGAATCCCGATATACAAAGTGTGTTCAATAAATAATGAGACCGGTCGAAAAAACAAAGAAAAAACGAAATTATAATTTTTTTTTAAAAGTCTATTAAAAAAATAGAAAGCTTCAGTTACACTGCGGTATATCACATCACGTGATTGTGCGCGCAGTCGATAAATTGTAAGCTTGTAAAAAGAACGCCTTACATAACAACTTCTAATTTGTAATGGATAGAAAATTCGAACAACGAATTTGTATTAAATTTTGCTACAAAATAGGGAAATCGGCTTCAGAAACTTTAGATTTGTTGAAATTGGCATTTGGAAATGAAAATGTAAATAAGCCCACCACATTTAGATGGTTTTCACGATTTAAAAATAGAATAGAATCGGTGAAAGATGAGAAGCGTCTGCACAGGAACCCTGAAAAGGTGAGCCAAATTTCAAATTTGATAAAAGAAAATCTACGAATAGGGTTACGAGACATTGAGGAAGAAACAGGGATATCAAAATCATTAGTTGGATCGATAAATAAAGAAGACTTGCAGTTAAAGAAGACACCTTCAAAATTTGTCCCTAAAATGCTCACAATCCAACAAAAGGAGAATCACGTTGAAGTTGCCAAAAATGCTTTAAATGGTGGAAGAAAACCCTAATTGGAAGGAAAAATTAATAACTGGAGACGAGACATGGTTTACGGGTATGACCCGGAAACAAAACGCCAATCCATGGAGTGGAAAGAAAAGATAACCAAGAACAAAGAAATCCCGACTTTGCAAGTTAAAAAACAAAGTCTTATTTGTCACGTTCTTTGACATAAAGGGAATTGTGCATTATGAATATCTAGAGGAAGGTCAAACAATCAATAAGGAGTCTTATTTAAACATTATGAGACGTGTACGTGAATCCATTCGTCTGAAAAGAAGTGAAAGGTGGAGTTCCAAAAATTGAATTATCCATCATGATAAGGCACCACCACACACCGCTACATCTGTACTGACTTATTTGGCTAAACACGGCATCCAAATACTTCAAAAACCTCCCTATTCCCCAGACCTAGCTCCAAATGATTTATTTTTGTTTCCAAAACTCAAAATGGCTCTAAAAGGAAGGAGATTTGACACTAGAGAGTCCATCATAGCGGATTCGAAAAGGGTCTTGAAGAACATCCCGAAAGATGCCTTTTCTAGATGTTTTAAATCATGGGAGTAGAGATGGAAATTATGTATAGATGCGGGAGGGGACTATTTTGAAAAATCTTAATAAAAGTATTTTTAATTATTCTATTTATTCTTTATTTTTGACCAGTCTCATTATTTTTTGGACACACCTTGTACATTCTAAAAGGTACAATTTCCTTAAGTTTTGTCCATGAGTGTATCTTTCATAGTTATTGTCTGAATCCCGATATACATGCTAAAAGGTACAACTTCCTTAAACTTTGCCCATGAGTGCATCTTTCAGTTATTGTCTGAATCCCGATATACATGCTAAAAGGTACAACTTCCTTAAGTTTTGTCCATGAGTGTATCTTTCAGAGTTATTGTCTGAATCCCGATATACATGCTATAAGGTACAACTTCCTTAAGTTTTGTCCATGAGTGTATCTTTCAGAGTTATTGTCTGAATCCCGCTATACATGCTAAAAAGTACAACTTCCTTAAGTTTTGTCCATGAGTGTATCTTTCAGAGTTATTGTCTGAATCCCGATATACATGCTAAAAGG